CGTGTGAGCTGCGCTCAGTAGCGGAGCCATCTGTGGCTGGATGTGCCCACTCTCGTACGTACGCTCACTCTCTCAGGTGCCTCGTGCTGCTTTTGCTGCGGGGACAGCTGCTGGGCCTTGGGGTGTCCTCTGTGATCTGGCCTGGTGCTCCCACCCACCCATAGTGCAGCGCCCGTGTAGAGAGCAACATGGCTTCCTATCCCTTGACTCTAAGTGAGGGAGTCTGATTGTAGATTCCACCTCCTCTGGAAGCTCTTTGAGAAGCCACACCTGGGCGGTTTAGCCTCAGTGAGAGGGGAGACAGTGCATGGGTGTGCACATGTGCATGCACACACATGTCCTATACACACGCACACGCATGTCATATACATGCACACATGCCTGCACATGGGTGACCTATACCTGCATGTGTGTGGACCACCCGGGAGCAAGTGTGCCTCCGTGCACATACATCACAATGAGCCACATTGAAACAACAAACAAAGGAACCCAACTCCCAGCCATTGAGCCCATTGTGACTGGTGTCGACCTGGTAGGACAGGGCGGAGCCGGCCCTGTGGGTTTTCTATGCTGTCACTCTGGACAGGATTACAAAACCCGGTCTTTCTCCCGAGGAGCAGCAGAAGTTTCAAACTGCTGACCTGTGGTTAGCAGCCCGGTGCCCACAGTCACCCACTGTGCCCAAACCTACAACTCTGCCGCAGAGTCTCTTGGCTCACGGCGACCCTATGGGCGGCACTGCCCCCGTGGGTTTCAGCCACTCTTTGCTGGAGTAGTAAGCCTCCTCTTCCTCCCGAGGAGCAGCTGGTGGTTTCGAACATCTCACCTCGAGGTTAGCTGTCCAACAAGCGACCCACCGTGCCACCACGGCTCCTCCCGCTGCGCCAAGGCAGTGTGATGTAGCAGCAGCGGGCTCCCACTGGGCCGCCCTTTCCCTCGGCATGACTCCTCCACTTTTTCCACCCTCGGAGGCTGCCGTCTTGGTGGGTGGCTGGCTCGGGCGAGACTTGGGGCAGCTGTTCCCGATTGCTTTGTCAGTGGGCCTTGGACGACAGGTTTTAGGAAAGGCACGGGCACCTCTCACCTGTGGGGCCGTATCTGCACCAGCCCTAGCAGGGCCTGTACATGCACACACGCCTGCACATGTATGTCCTATACACATGCACACGGGCCAGGACGACGTGAACCTGGCACCTGGCCCTGTATTCCCTTTCATGGTCTGGGAAGTCTGCGACAGACCCCGGTCTCCTCTGGCCCCAGGGACACGTGTGCATCAGCTGTGACCCATCTGCCTTGACTTCATGCCTATCGTTCTAGATCCCTCCAGATGGGCCCCCTACGTAATCATCAGTGTTGATCCTGAGACCCTGGGACATCTCATAGTGTGGTCATGGAAGTGTTGGGTTGAAAACGTGCCCGTCTAGTCCTCTGCTTCTAGTCTGGGGTCCCCTGTTTGCACCAGCCCCTGCAGGGCCAGGACCGAAGGTGAGCCACCTCAGCCAACCAAACCCGCACAGCCACACAGAAGGCTCTGTGCTCTCCTCCACTGTCCCTTCACTGATGCCGGGGAATCAAAGAGAGGGGACCAAGAAATCTTCATCCCGTCCTTCCTGCCCATTCCAGCATGACCCTCTCCATGGGGTGTGACTGCCCGGCTGCACACGCTCATCCAGCAGTGGGCAGATGTTCCGGGCCGTGCGCTGAAGGCACCGGGGTGGTACCTTCACCACATCCCTCTCACTGCTGGTCTAAGGAACCCGTGATGTGTCATCCACAGTGTGAGCCCAGCTGGGCTGCTGTTTAGCCTGGTTCTGAAGCGCCGTCCAGGTACACTCAATGTCTGCCCCCGTCTGGGGACTGCAGCGGGGAGGGAAGGGGCCGACTGTCACCGAGCGTGCCAGTGGGGGTGGGGTGTGAAAGCCAGGCCTTGAGATGTCAGCCATGACCCTCGTGGTCTGCAGCGTCCGTCGGGCCCCTGCGTCTACAGAGAGTGGCTCCGCTATCAGCAAGACACTCTCCCAGATGCCCCGCGTTTGGGATGAGCTGCTGGGAGAGCTAGAGGGTCTGCCTGCTGGGAGTTCCTCTGGAAACTCATATTTGCCAAGTGGAACCACCGCTGGAAGAGACACCTAGGCAGCTCATCTCGGCCCAGTGACCAGGCAGCAGCCCCTCCCAGCAGGGCAGCCGGGGAAGCCATCATTCTGGCTCACCTTGGAAACCAACCCCCAATGCCCACTGCTGTTGAGTTGGTGGTGACCCACACCAACCCGACCGCTCCGACTGGCGCTGCCCCCGAGGGTTCCCATGGCTGAACGCGCTCTGAAAGCTGACCAACACGTCTTTGTCCCGCAGAGTGGGCTGCTGGGCTCCAATGGCTGGGCTTGTGGTTAGCAGCTTAACCACGGGGGCACCGGGGCTCCCTGTCACCCTGGAGAGGATGAAGCAGAGACACTAGCCCCCGGGTTCTCTCTGCCTCCTGCCCACACCCAGGGGCTTCCCCTCCTGTCTTCTCAGACTGCACAAGCTCTGCCAAGGACCCACCCACATCCCAAGCCTGTGCCCAACGTGAGCCAACTCTCTTATCCCCGAGACCTGGGCCGCAGGGCCCCCATGGCCTGCCCTGTGCCTCTCTCTCTGAGCCCACTTAGGTCAGCTGAGAGCCTGCAGGATCCAGATAGTGAGATTGCCCTCTAGCCCGTGGAGGGACTGACCTTTATTCCCTGGGCTCCCAGTAGATGTAGCATTGTACTACCTGGTTGAATGAGGCTAGAAATGTTAAGTTTTAATGTTTGCTTTGCATTCCCTCTTGGATTAACAACAACAATAACAAAAAGCAAAGAGTAAATAATTCCTAAAGTGAACAGAGAGATGCGGGGGGG